CTGAGCCTGTAATCTGGAGATGGAGGCAGGCAATGTTTATAAACACATAAACAAGTTAATCATAGACTTGGGTAAGTGCTGTAAAAGAGAGAAATCAGGTGATGTGCTAGAGAGTTACAGGGGGAGACCATCAGCCTTGGCTGAGGTTGTGAGGGAAGGTAGAGCATTCCAGGAGGGAAGACGAGCCTGTGTAAAGGTCCGGCAGTGGGAGGGTTGGGTGTGTTTACGGAACAGAAAGAAGCAGTGCTGTGGGGGCCTTTCGTAAACTGTGTGGAAAGCCTGGCATGAGGTTACATCAGAAAGCGGGGCAGGACATGGAGGGGCTGGCAGGCTGTGGTGAGTTTTTTGTTTTTGTTTTTGTCTGTTTGTTTTGGAGACACAGTCTCTGTTGCTCAGGCTGAAGTGCAATGGCATGATCTCAGCTCACTACAGCCTCCACCTCCTGGGTTCAAGCGGTTTTCCTGCCTGAGCCTCCCAAGTAGCTGGGATTACAGGCGTGCGCCACCACATCCAGCTAATTTTTATATTTTCAGTACAGACAGGGTTTGGCCATGTTGGCCAGGTGGTCTCGATCTCCTGACCTCAAGTGATCCTCCCACCTCAGTCCCTGAAAGTGCTGAGACTTTAGGCATGAGCCACCATACCCAGCCAGGAGTTTTACTTTATGCTGAAAATAATTAGAAGCTGTTACAACAGCAGTCTCCAACGTTTTTGGCACTAGGGGACTGGTTTCATGGAAGACAGTTTTTCCATGGACCAGGGCTTGTGGGGGATGGTTTCGAGATGAAACCGTTCCACCTCCGATCATCAGGTATTAGATTCTCATACGGAGTGTGCACCCTAGATCTCTCACATGCGCAGTTCACAATAGGGCCTGCCTCCTGCTGCACAGCCCAGTTCCTAACAAGCCACAGACTGGTGCTGGTCCATGGCCCTGGGGGGTGGAAACCCGTTTGTTAGAGGGTTAGAAGCAGGGGAGTGACTTGATGAACTGTGAATTTTGAAAAGTCCCTCTGGCTGCCCTTTGACGAATGGATTGCAGTGGAGGAAGAGGACACGGGGAAACCAGCTATCGTGACTGTTCAGGTGGGAACCCAGTGACCAGGACCAGGCTTGGGGTTAGGAACGTCCGTTTTGATTGCTGACAGCCTCACTAGTTCACCCCCTCTCCAGCCTTTACTCACCCAAACCATTCCCTTCTGCTGCAATCTGACTCCAGGAGAAATCCGCTTGGATCTCAGCTTCTCTGTCCCTCCACCATGCTGCCAGGCAACCCAGTTGTCAGGCAGGGCTGGGTAGAATCAAGGCTAGATTAATCTACTACAGTAAGTTTCAAACTGCATTAAAAATAAATAAATAAAAGCTAAGAAATGAATCCCTTTGGACAAAATTTTTGGAAATTCAAAATGTAAACCTTATAAGAACAGAGCTGACCATCCTCAGCCCACCTCACCGGTGTGAACAGAGACACCTTTGAGGAACCTCAAGACTCTAGAGAATGCAAAAATCCCAAAGGCCCAGGGGTCTGGAATGACAGAGGGGATTGAAGGTCAGACCAAACAGCAAGAGACGGGCAAGTCACCAGCAGAGTCCACACTGAGCTGTGCTCAGCAGGATGTTGGATGGGATTCTCTGGTAACTCCGGGTTATTGATCCTGAGAAGCCTGAGCTAATCAGTCAGCCTTACTCTCAGACACAACTCCCTGGGCCTGAAAGACTTGGACAGACATCCAAAATCCTTTTCTTCCTGAAAGGAAGTAGCATGTCCACGGCCTGAAAATGAACACGAGAAGCAGCTATGGATCCAGGGCCCAAGGCTGCCTGGTGCAGCTGCCCAGGCTGTGCACTGTACAATTCCAGGAGGCACCCAGCTAATAATGTGAATGGTGCCTCCTGGAGTAAGGAAGTACAGCAGCTTTCTGGGTGCTTCCACAAGGGCTCAGTGCGGTAAGACCCTCGAGTGGGTCTTAATCTCACTCCAGGATGGGGACCCTAACTTTTCAACTCTGATGCGTTCATTTTTTCCTGAGCAGTGATATAGGGGCTGGCTGGCAGATTCTGATGGGTTATTGAAAAAGGGGGTGAGAAGAGCAGAGGAATGAAGACAGAGACTTCTTGACTTCCTGGCTCTCACCCTAAAAATAGCGTGAAAACATCTCGGGAGGGAAGGAGTTGTGCAACTATCACGAAGTCATGCCAGGCACAGTGGCTCAGGCCTGTAATCCCAGCACATTGGGAGGCCAAGGCGAGTGGATCACTTGAGGCCAGGAGTTTGAGTCCAGCAACATATTGAGACCCCCATCTCTGCCAAAAAAAAAAAAAATTAGCCTGGTATGGCGGCGTCTGCCTGGAGTCAGTCCTAGCTACTTGGGAGGCTGAGGTGGGAAGATTGTTTGAGCCCAGGAGGACCGACACACTTCACTTCTTCAAGGCTCCCTTCCATCATCTATAGAATGGGGCTAGTAATTTGTGACTTTTGGGTTATCAAGAAGAATAAACAGCAGATCTGTGGTAAATGGTGGTTTTTAGTTTACCATCCTTAACAAACCCCAGAGTCTGGTCAGATCCTTTCTCTCTAACTCCCTCAACTTCTTACAAGCTCCCTCACCCTCACGCTCCAGCTGCATTGAGCCCTGCGACGTTGCCCATGCAAACCTTGGTCTTCCACACTTCCATGCATTTCTGCCAATAATGCCTTTTTTTGGCCAGGCATGGTGGCTCATGCCTGTAATCTCAGCATTTTGGGAAGCCAAGGCAGGTGGATCACCTGAGGTCAGGAGTTGAAGACCAGCCTGGTCAACATGGCGAAACCCTGTCTCTACTAAAAATACAAAAATTGGCTGGGCGAGGTGGCTCATGCCTGTAATCCAAGCACTTTGGGAGGCCGAGGTGGATGGATCACGAGGTCAAGAGATTGAGATAATCCTGGCCAACATAGTGAAACCCTGTCTCTACTAAAATACAAAAATTAGCTGGGCATGGTGGCACATGCCTGTAGTCCCAGCTACTCGGGAGGCTGAGGCAGGAGAATTTCTTGAAGCCAGGAGGCAGAGGTTGCAGTGAGCTGAGATTGTGCCACTGCACTCCAGCCTGGTGCCTGGCGAAAAAGCGAGACTCTGTCTCAAAAAAAAAAAAAAGAAATACAAAATACCTGGGATTACAGGTATGGTGCCATGTGCCTGTAATCCCAGCTACTCAGGGGGCTGAGGCAGGAGAATCGCTGGAACCAGTGAGGTTATAGTAAGCAGAGGTTTCAGTGAGCCAAGATCATGCCGCTGCACTCTAGCCTGGGTCACAGAGGGAGTCTCCCTCTAAAAAAAAAAAAAAAAAAAAAGTGTTTCTGATCACAAAAGTAGATATATTCTTCATAGAAGATTTAGCAAATAGGCCTAAGCAAAAGAAAAAAATGAAAATCTCCTGTCATTCCACCTCGGAGAGATAATTGCTATTAACATGGTGTTACAGGCTGAATGTTTGTGACCCCCTAAAATTTATATGTTGAAATTCCAAACCCCATTGTGACTGTATTTGGAGATAGGGCCTTCATTAAAATTAAATGAGGTCATAAGGGTGGAGCCCTGATCCAATAGGATTAGCATCCCTATAAGAAAAGACACCACGTGAATACAATGAGAAGATTGCCATTCACAAGCAAAGAGAGAGCTCTCATCAGAAAGAAAACTGGCCAGCAAGTTGATCTTGGGCTTCCCAGCCTCTAGAACCATGAGAAATAAATTTCTGTCAGTGAAGCCACCCAGCTTGGTATTTTGTTATGACAGCTTGAGCCACATAGTTAGCCTTCTAATTATCTGTGCATACATGCATATGTGTATATTTTTAAAACAAAATCAGAGCGAGATCACTCTTAGATAGTACATCATAGATTATAGCATAGGTGTTGGCTGGGTAATCTAGTATTGGCCTGTAATCCCAGCACTTTGGGAGGCCAAGGCAGGTGGATCGCTTGAGCCCAGGAGTTTGAGGATCAGCCCGGGAAACATGCTGAGATCCCATCTCCACAAAAAGATGCAAAATTAACCAGGCATGATGGCATGCTCCTGTGGTCCCAGCTCCTTGGAGGCTGAGGTGGGAGGGTTGTCTGAGCCCAGGAAGTCAAGGCTGTAGTGAGCCATGATTGTGTCACTACACTCCAGCCTATGTGACAGAGAGAGACCCTATCTCAAAAAATAAAATAAATTAATAAAAAGAGCATAGGTGTGGGATTAGACAGATTCGGGTTCAAATCGTGGTGGTGTATAGCCTTAGGCAAATCTCAGTGGTGCAACTCTGTGGGTTTATTTCCTCATCTTTAGATGGGGATGATGAGCGTATCTACCTTCTGGGACTGCTATGAAGATTAAATTAGAAAATGCTTGTAAAGTCCCTGGCACAGTTCTGGCATCTAGTAAAGCCAGCCCTTTTAAATGGTGGTCGATCGTCACTATTCACTAGACTGTAAGTTCCTTGAGTTGCTCTGCTGACTTGTCTGTGTTATCCCTTGTTCTTGGAAACTGCCTGGAGAATAGGTATCTAATAAATATCTAGTGAATGAGTGAATGAACAGTTCATATATTTATGAGAGCACAGAGAGAGAGCAGCTAGCACAGTGCATAATCAGTTGCATATAATTATTGGTGGTGTTACACTGTTCTCTAATGAGTAAAGCACAGTGGCTGGTTAAGAGCCAACTGCCTGGCTTTGAATTCTGTTTCTACTGGTTTGTCAATGTGTGGCCTGAGTCAAGTACACCTCTAGATACATCTTTTTCTACAATGCACTTTAAAATGTGTCTCTCAAGTAAGGATAAGAATAGTATTGACTTCATGGGGTTGTCACAAGGATTAAATGAGATGATCTATGTCAATTGCTTAAAATAGTACCTACCTCATCGGGTTGTTATGAGGATTACAGGAGATCATCCATCAAGACATCTAGAATGCTGCTCAATAAATGCTTTATCCTCTTAATGTCAAATGTCTGTTACTGATTGTCACCCTCAGATCAAACAGCAGCAAATCAAAAGCGGAGAGTCCCAAAACACCTAGCAGCCCCTTGACCCCCACGTTTGCCTCCTCCATCTGCCTCCTGGCCCCCTGCTATCTCACAGGAGACTCTGTCCGGGACAAGTGTGTGGAGATGCTGTCAGCAGCCCTGAAGGCGGATGGTGAGAGGGCCTGGGCTAGGGATGGGGGCGGGAAGGGGTTCCTTTTCCCAACCACACCAAAGACAGATGAGATGCAGTCTTTCTCAGCATTCCAGGGGATGGTACGGGGACACTCTAGTATGAGCAGGTTGCACTGCCTAGGTTGTGTCTGGCTAATGCCTGTATTTCTCAAATCTCTTTTAGATGATTACAAGGACTATGGAGTCAACTGTGACAAGATGGCATCAGAAATCGAAGATCATATCCTTGAACCGTGCCGGGGCTGTGGGTGTCTGGACCATCTAGCAGCAGCCCTCCAAGGTGCAAGCGAGCTGGGACAGTGAGGAAGGAGAGGAAGGACTCCAGGAACAGCACCTGCTCTACCCTTGAGCCAAAGCTCTTAATTCTATCTAGCATTCGTTATTATTTTACACCTGCCAGCAAAATTTGAAAATGAGCTGTACCTCATTCAGTGTTGATAACAACCCCACAGGGTAGGTTTCCTGATTTCTCCAGTTTTATAGGTGAGGCAACTGAGACTTACAGAGGTCAAATCATTCCCCAAAGCCCACACAGCTACGGTAGTAGCAGAGATGGGATCTGAGCCCAGACTCTGGAAACTGGGGGCTCAGCAGCTGTGCCAGCTAGACTGTGTAATAGCATGCCTCACTTGGTCAAGTCATCACCTTTCGGAACAGACTAGAATGAGAGGTCAGCATTTCCCAGGCTCAGCCTTTCCCCTTCTCCTGTCCTCTGATGTTAATAGCTCCCTTTTCTTTTCTTTTTTTTCTTTTTGAGATGGAGTTTTGCTCTTGTTTCCCATGCTGGAGTGCAATGGCACAATCTAGCCCCACTGCAACCTCTGCCTCCTGGGTTCAAGCTATTCTCCTGCCTCAGCCTCTCAAGTAGAGGGAATTACTGGCATGCACCATCATGCCCGGATAATTTTGTATTTTTAGTAGACACAGCGTTTCATGATGTTGGTCAGGCTGGTCTCAAACTCCTGACCTCAGGTGATCCACCTGCCTTGGCCTCCCAAAGTGCTGGGATTATAGGCATGAGCCACTGTGCCCACCCCCCTCCTTTTTTTTTTAACTCCCAAATATATATCAAGCACTGCAATGGCCAATTGACACTTACCACCATCTCTGTTAGCTCTCACAGCATTCTCTGTGAGGCAGAGACTGTTCTCATTTTACAGACAAGGAGTCTGAGGCTCAGAACTACTGGGTATCAAAGCAGGACTGGAGACCTTGGTCTTTGGATTCCATGTACTGAACCCTTTCCATGTGCCTCCTCTCCCCAGCTTCTCATCTGAAAGGGGCCCTGTGTAGACAGGAGAGGTGACCACCACTGGGATATATTAACAGATCTGTTGCACCAAAGGATGTTTGGCTTGGGAGAAAAAAAAAATCCCTCCTCCCTTGGCCCACACTGAATGAAAACATGGAGCTTCTTTTACTAGACACAAGGTTTGCTGGGTGTTGGAGCAGGGAGACAATCGGGGAAAGAAGTCTAGGTGTCACACTGAAGTATGAGTGACCCTTCTGAGAGCTCCTGGGTTCTACCTGGGGAGTTCAGCAGGGTCTGTTGGGGAGGACCATGGGCTGATCTGCAGGCAACAAACCTGCATTTCTACCTCCTGCCTGTGGCCTACCCTAATTCCCTCCAACTCATTTTCTGGTGCTTTCTCTCCGCTGCCATTTAATGATTAATCAGCAATACCTCAACAAGTCTGGAGCCATTCAGCCCCTCAGAAAGTACATTTTCATCCTTTCCTGTTAATTCAGGAAGGCAGAGCACAAGGTATCAGATATATCACGAGTTTCATCTTCATTTTCTCCTGAACAATCATCCCTTCAAGCAGGTCCCTTCCACCTTCAAGCCCAGTTTGAAACAACAGCAGCTGGTCCAGTACAAAGTTCCACTCCCAGCCTTTCCTCCATCCACTGAATGTTCCTCTTTTTTTTTTTGAGATGGGGTCTTGCTCTGTTGCCCAGGCTGGAGTGCAGTGGCACTGTCTTGGCTCACTGCAACCTCTGCCCCCCAATCATTCAAGTGATTCTCCAGCCTCAGCCTCCCAAGTAGCTGGGATTACAGGTGTCCATCACCACACTGGCTAATTTTGTTGTATTTTTAGTAGAGATGGGGTTTCACTATGTTGGCCAGGCTGGTCTTGAACTCCTGACCTCAGGTGATCCGCCCTCCTCAGCCTCACAAAGTGCTGGGATTGCAGGCGTGAGTCACTGTGCCCGGCCTGAGTGTCCCTCCTCTAAAGGAGAGGAAACAAAAGCTGCATTAAAGGTTTTAGCTCTTTGTTCTTAGCTAGCTGGAGGTCAGGGAGAGGGTACACTTGGGGGCTTGACTGCTCTGTGTCCTAAAATAGATCTGTCCTCTTTGGAGTGGCTCTGTGCTAACATAGCAGCCAAAAGCTCTTCTGAGGGGCCGGTGACCTCTGGGTCTGCTCTCCACCTCGTCCCCTCCTGTCGCCTTGGGACGTGGAGACAGAGTCAGGGAGAGGCTGGAGAAAGTCCCGCCAGCCCTTCTGCCCTCACAGATCAACACACCCCAGGAATCCCAAGTGGCACATTTTCAAACACATTTTTTGGCTTTCACATGCACTGTGGCATATTCTTTGCTTTTCACACTTTTATTGTACAAACAACATTAAAACAATAACAGAAAAAAGAAAGAATACCACCTCCCCTCCCACCACTTCTAGCGAGTCATCTGTTTCCATTTTTCCACATTCCCCGCAGTCTCTTTCTTGTAGATGGTTTTTCCCAGCAACAGCTTTGTCTTCCTGATCTTCCTTGGCTCAGGAGACCAAGAAAATGAGGCTGTGTTCCCTGAGCTCCTCCAGAGGGTGGAGGGAGAGGGAGGCTCGCAAGCCTGCCCAGGATGCAGTGTTTGGACAGAAACTCACTGTGGTTGGTGGCCAGGGGTGACTTCCTGCGGGGTGAGTGGAGAGAGTGTTACCGTCAGGAGGGGTCTGGCTTCCAGCCCTGTCTCTGCCGGGAATTTGCCCCGTGGCCTTGAGCAATGGCCTGCACCCTCTCTAAGCCTCATCTAGTAATGGAAGAAGTAGTTCTGACCAGCAATTCCCAGCGCAGGTTCCATGGGATGGTAACAGGTATTGTAGGAGAAAGGATGGAGGGGAAAGGGGCTCTATAATCAAATTTATTGGGAACACCAGATTAAACAAAGCTCAGTGATTTCTTTTTTGCAATACTTCTTAGAGCCTTAAACATGTGGCTCTTAATCTTTTCCTCTGAAAGCTGGACTCACAACCTCCAGGGGCCCTTCCAGACTAGAGGCTGTCCACATCCTTGTCATCATCTTAACAGCCCATACATATTAAACATTTGATATGTCCCAGACACCACACTAGTGCACCATGTGGCTTAGCTCCCGGAATCCTTGTATTTTATAAATAAGGAACCTCACCTGTGGTCACACAAGAGGCTCAGACAAACCCAGGCTGCCTGTTCCCAGTGTCCCTGACACTGTAGTGCTTGCTGTGATCTGATCTGACCCCAGAGGCTGTTTCTTGTCTCTGATACTTGGCTGACCACAAATGCCCAACTTGGGGAGTCAGAGGTCACAAAAGAGGGGCCCAACCCCTGTAGGAGTCCAGAGAGAGGAAGAGAGGGTTCTGGAGCTCCTCAGGCTTTAGGGCCATGCCTGCACCCTTCTGTGCCCCTCCGTGAGTGGCTGGCTGGCCCCTGACTGAATCACATATCTACCAAGAGCTCAAGAGCACGGACATGAAGTACCGGAATCGCGTGCGCAGCCGCATCAGCAACCTCAAGGACCCCAGGAACCCCGGCCTGCGGCGAAACGTGCTCAGTGGGGCCATCTCTGCAGGGCTCATAGCCAAGATGACAGCAGAGGTGAGAGCACGGTATCTGCATGGTGGAATGGGAAGCCAGGTCCCCCCAGCCCTGCCCAGTGCAGAGGGGCAGTGGCTTGTGACTCAGCAGCGATGAGCCAGGGAGCTTTTCTAACCAGCCCCATCTCAGCCTCCCCACCAGGCTCTGGACTAGCAGGATCCTGAACACAGCTAATAGGTTATAAGTGCTGGCCGGGTGCCGTGGCTCAACCCTGTAATCCCAGCACTTTGAGAGGCTGAAGTGGGTGGATCATGAGGTCAAAAGATCGGGACCATCTTGGCCAACATGGTGAAACCCTGTCTCTACTAAAATACCAAAATCAGCCATGCGCAGTGGCACATGCCTGTAGACCCAGCTACTCAGGAGGCTGAGGCAGGAGAATCACTTGAACCCAGGAGTCAGAGGCAGAGAGCCGAGATCGCACCACTGCACTCCAGCCTGGTGACAGAACATGACACCATCTCAAAAAAACAAAAACAAAAACAAAAAGTGCTGTGCTAAATGTGTTCAGCGAATTGGCCAAGTTTACCTTCACATCAGCTGAGACAGAAAGGTGTATTATCCCCATTCTACAGATAAGGCTCCTGAGGCTCAGGGGAGTAAACTGATTTGCCCATGCACACAGCTAGAAAGGGTTGAAGCCTAGGAGGCAAGCTGTCTGGCCCCAGAGCTAGATGTGTGTGGAGTGTGTGTGGGTGAACATGTGGAGTGTGTGTCTGTGTGGTACATATGATGTGTGAGGTGTGTAGGGGGTATATGTGTATATGTGGGATGTGTGTGTGGTATGTATGTGTGTGTATATGTGTGGAGTATATGTGGTGTGTACGTATGGAGCATGTGTGTATGGTACATATTAGGGGTCCCCAACCCTTGGGCCACAGGCTGGTACCTGTTAGGAACCAGGTCACACAACAGGAGGTGAACAGTGGGTGAGCGAGTGAAGTTTCATCGTATTTACAGCCGCTCCCCGTTGCTGGCATTCCTGCCTGAGCTCCGCCTCCTGTCAGACCAGTGGCGGCACTAGATTCTCATAGATGCGCGAAGCCCATTGTGAACAACATATGCGAGTGATCTATGTTGTGAGCTCCTTATGAGAGTCTAATGCCTGATGATCTGTCACTGTCTCCCATTACCCTAAGTGGGGACCATCTAGTTGCAGGAAAACAAGGGAGATCGGAGCTCCAACTGATTTGGTGAGTTGGATAATTATTTCATTATATATCACAATGTAATAATAAGAGAAATAAAGTGCACAATAAATGCAATGCGCTTGAATCATCCTGAAACCATCCCCTACCCCGTCTGTGGAAAAGTCATCTTCCAGGAAACCAGTCTCTGGTGCCAGAAAGGTTGGGGACCACTGGTGTGTGTGATGTGTGGAGTGTGGGGGCTGCATATGCGTGGAGTGTGTGTGGTGTGTGTGATGTGTGAGGTGTGTTTGGTGTTTAGTATATCTGTGTGGTATATATAATGTGTGGACTGTGTGTGGTGTGTGGAGTGTGTATGGTGTATGGTGTGGAAAGTGCGTGTATGATGTGTGGATTGTGTGTATGATGCATGTAGTGTGTGTGGTGTGTATGTTGTGTGGAGTGTGTGTGGTGTATGCTGTGTGGAAAGTGGGTGTATGCTGTGTGGAGTGTGTGTGGTGTGTATGATGTGTGGAAAGTGTATGTGTTGTGTATGATGTGTGGAGTGTGTGTGTATGTGTGGAGTGGCGTGGTGTGTATGATGTGTGGAGTGTGTATGTGTTGTGTATGATGTATGGCGAGTGTGTGTGGTATGTATGATGTGTGGAGTGTGTGTGTTGTGTATGATGTGTGGAGTGTATATGGTGTGTATGATGTGTGGAGTGTGTGTGTATGATGTTTGGAGTGTGTGTATCATGTGTGCACTGTGTATGATGTGTGGAGTGTGTGTGCACTGTGTATGATGTGTGCAGTGTGTGTGTGTGTTGCGTATGATGTGTGCAGTGTGGTGTGTGGTGTGTATGATGTGTAGAGAGTGTGTATGGTATATATAATGTGTGGAATGTGTATGTGGTGTGTATGATGTGTGGATTGTGGGTGGTGTGTATGATGTGTAGAGAGTGTGTGTGGTGTGTATGATGTGTGGAGTGTGTGTGCACTGTGTATAACGTATGGAGTGTGTGTGTGGTTTGTATGATGTGAAGTGTGTGTGTATGATGTACGGTGTGAAGTATGTGTATGATTAGTGTATGTGTGTCCTGTGTGGTTTGTGTATGTGTGGCGTGTGGAAGTGTGTGTCTGTGTTATGTAGTGGGTGTATGTACATTCTTCGGAGGAGAGGGTTCACTGCTTTCCTCAAATACCCAAAACAAACAACAAAGAGCCTTGGCTTTAGGATGAAATGGGGAACTTGGCACAGGTAGACCAGGGTTATCTTTCTGCCTAATTTTAAATACCCAATCTTTTTAGGTAAATAGCTACATATACCTGGAGTTATAAATTGCAACTTGGCTTTACAGTGTGTCTTTCGTCAGTCCAGACTGCTATAACAAAATGCCATAGCCTGGGTGGCTTATAAACAACAGTCATTTATTTCTCACATTTCTTTTCTCGTTGGCTGGTTTTTTTTTGTTTTTTTTGTGGGTTTTTTTGAGGTGGAGTCTTACTCTGTTGCCCAGGCTGGAGTGCAGTGGCACAATCTTGGCTCACTGCAGCCTCTGCCTCCCAGATTCAAGTGATCCTCCTGCCTCAGCCTCCTTAGTAGCTGGAACTATAGGCGCCCACCACCATGCCCGGCTAATTTTTGTGTTTTTAGTAGAGATGGGGTTTCACTAAGTTGGCCAGGCTGGTCTCAAACTTTTGACCTCAAGTGATCTGCTTGTCTCGGCATCCCAAAGTGCTGGGATTGCAGATGTGAGCCACTGCACACAGCCTATTTCTCGAATTTCTAGAGGTTGGACAGTCCAAGATCAGGGCACCAGCAGATTCAGTGTCTAGTGAGGGCCTGCTTCCTCACAGACAGCCATCTTCTCACTGTGACCTCATATGGTGGAGGGGTCTTTCTCAGGCCCCTATTGGAGGGGCCCTAGTCCCCTGCAGCAGGGCTCTGCTCTCAAGAGCTAGCCACCTCCCAAAGACCCCCTAATACCATTGCCTTGGGGTTAGGATTTCAACAGGTGAATATCGGGAGACCTTCATCCTAGGTCATCTTTTGCCCTGTGCAGAATGACTCACAAAGAGATACAGGACAATTTTTGTTCCATTACAAATCAGGCCAGGTGCGGTGGCTCATGCCTGTAATCCCAGCACTTTGGGAGGCCGAGGTGGGCAGATCTCCTGAGCTCAGGAATTTGAGATGACAAAACCCTGTCTCTACTAAAAATACAAAAATTAGCCAGGCATGGTGGCACACACCTGTAGTCCCAGCTACTCGGGAGGCTGAGGCAGGAGAATTGCCTGTACCCAGGAGGTGGGGGTTGCAGTGAGTGGAGATCATGCCACTTCACTCCCCGTCTGGACGCCAGGGTGAGACTCTGTCTAGAAAAAAAGAAAAGAAAAGAAAAAGAAAAACCTGAGCTTGGGCTTTGGCTGTCTGCTGTGCTGGGAAGCTCCCATCAGGACCCATGTGGACCGCATCTCTCAGCATTTCCTTCCCTGACTACGTTTTCATGCCTCTTTCCTTGTTTATCTGACTTCCTCATTCTTCCTTCTCTTTTCCTCCCTACCCAGACATAGCAAAGAATGGAGTAGGCTCTGAGATACCCATGAGCACTGCAGAGTGGACATACCATCCTGCCAGTCCCATGAGGACCAGCATTCACACTCAGCACTGACAGCAGTGTCTGGCACATCACGGGGCTCAACAAATATAGATCGAATTCACGTTGGTGCCATTCTCTAACAGTGTATATAACATGAGGACCCAGCGTGGTCTCTGACTCACCTTTCCCTCATTTTCTACCTTATTTTTTACAGTGTTGCACTTACCCTCTGTGTTTCTGATGATGCCTCATTCTAATGAGGCAGGGCAGAGAGGTAAATGGATTGGTGTGTGGCTGGATAGATTTTTCTATTCTCTATTTCTTAGCTGGCACACAAGACCTTCCTTCCACAATCTGACCTCCAGTCACATCTCCCATACTCAACTTGAACCTACCCCAAATACTTTTCCCCGAACATGCTATTCTTGTCCTCTAATCTTTTGTGTCTGCTGTTCTTTTTTTTTCATGGCTGCAGTCCCAACTAGGATTGTGGCTCTGTCACCCAGGCTGGAGTGCAATGGCACAATCTCAGCTCATTGCAACCTCCACTTCCCAGGTTCAAGCAATTCTCTTGCTTCAGCCTCCAAATTAGTTGGGACTGCAGCCATGTATCACCGTGCCTGGTTAACTTTCCTATTTTTAGTAGAGACAGAGTTTCACCATGTTGGCCACGTTGGTCTCAAACTCCTGATCTCAGGTGATCTGCCCTCCTCGGCTTCCCAAAGTACTGGGATTACATGCATGAGCCGCCGCAACTGGCCCTGCTGTTTTATTTGTCTGGAATATCCCACCACCCACCCCAGGAACTCCTATCTTTCAAGACTGGTTAAAGTACTAGCTTCTTCATGACCCACCCGGACCCCAAACAGTTAACCCCCATTCCCTGCACTTTATATACTTTTGCTTTAGTACTTCCTTCCCTTTCTTGCAATCCTGTGTAAATGCTTGGCTACCCTACCACATTAGCACTACTTGGGAGGAGGAACCAGATCTTCCTTTCTGAATCCGTTGGACTCAGAGGCAGTAGCATGCTTGAGCTAGCTCCTACCACCTCAAGGGAGCTGGTGATGTGTAGCTCTTCCCAGCTCTGCATTCAGTTACATCACATTAGCAGCTTGAAATTGGCCATGGTGGGAGCATTTTGTACCATGGAAGCTGACAAATGCTACAAATCAAGGCACCCCACAGCCAAAGTGGGTTTACCTGCAAACCACCAATATAGTTAAAGGCACTCAATAAATTGGCATCCAGTAGATTTTGTTTCTCTTTTTTTTTTTTTTTTTTTTTTTTTTGAGACAGAGTTTCACTTTTTCTGCCCAGGCTGGAGTGCGTTGGTGTGATCTCCGCTCCCTGCAACCTCTACCTCCTGGGTTCAAGTGATTCTCCTGTCTCAGCCGCCTGAGTAGCTGAGATTATTAAAGTTAGCTGGACATGTGCCACCACGCCTGGCTAATTTTGTATTTTTAGTAGAGATGGGGTTTCTTCTTTTTTTTTTTTTAGAGACGGGGTCTCGCTATGTTGCCCAGGCTAGAGTGCAGTGGCTATTCACAGGCGCAATCCCACTACTGATCAGCACAGGAGTTTTGACCTGCTCCGTTTCTGACCTGGGCTGGTTCACCCCTCCTTAGGCAACCTGGTGGTCCCCTGCTCCCAGGAGGTCACCATACTGATGCTGTACTTAGTGCGGACACCTGATCTGCATAGCGCACTACAGCCCAGAACTCATAGGCTCAAGCAATCCTCCCACCTCAGCCTCCCGAGTAGCTGGGACTATAGGCACGTGCCACTGCGCCCGGCTAGAGATGGGGTTTCTCCATGTTGTTCAGGCTGGTCTCAAACTCCTGACCTCATGATCCACCCACCTTGGCCTCCCTAAATGCTGGGATTACAGGCGTGAGCCATCGCACCCAGCAGATTTTGTTTTTCTCTTTTGAGATGAAGTCTCACTCTGTTGCCCAAGCTGGAGTGCTGTGATGCCATCTCAACTCACTGCACCCTCTGCCTCCTGGGTTCAATCAATTCTCCTGCCTCAGCCTCCTGAGTAGCTGAGATTACAGGCATGCACCATCACACCCAGCTAGTTTTTTGTTTTTTGTTTTTGTTTTTGTTTTTGTTTTTGTTTTTGAGATGGAATCTCACTCTTGTTGCCCAGGCTGGAATGCAGTGGCGCCATCTCGGCTCACTGCAACCTCCACCTCTCAGGTTCAAGTGATTCTCTGCCTCAGCCTACAGAGTAGCTGGGGTTTTAGGTGCCTGCCATCACACCCACCTAATTTTTTGTATTTTAGTAGAGATGGGGTTTCACCATGTTGGCCTGGCTGGTTTCAAACTCCTGACCTGAGGTGATCCACCCAGCTTCGCCTCCTAACGTGCTGGGATTACAGGCATAAGCCACCCCACCTGGCCACATTCAATAAATTTTGAGTGGGCAAGTGCTTTATGCTCTGGAAAATACCCCCAAATTAAAGTTAGCTACTTTTTACTCATATGGGTAAATGACTTTCATTAACTTGTTTTTCTACACTCTCCTGCCATTGGTTATGGCCCAGCCTTTGAAATTAACACACTAGGACTTAAACATTAATATGTACCAGAATAACTTGCGGACACTAGGAAAAATGCATATTGTGGCCAGGCGCAGTGGTTCATGCCTGTAATCCCAGCACTTCGGGAGTCCAAAGCAGGTGGATTGCTTGAGCTCAGGAGACCAGCCTGGGCAACATGGTAAAATCCCTTCTCTACAAAAAATACAAAAAAAAAAAAAATTAACCAGGTGTGGTGGCGCAATGCCTGCAGTTCCAGCTACTTGAGAGCCTGAGGTGGGAGAATCGGTTGGCCTGGGGAGGTTGAGGTTGCAGTGTGCTGCGGTCGCACCATTAGACTACAGCCTAGGTGACAGCAAGATTCTGTCCCAAAAATAAATAAGTAAATAAATAAATAACTTTAAAAAATGCATATTCCTGGGCCTGCCCTCAGCAATTCAGATTCTTAGGAATCTGCATTTTATCAAGAAGCCTAAGTGGTTATAATGAAAGGTTAGCACACTAAAATGCTTTAACTTGGTCGGGCGCGGTGGCTCACGCCTGTAATCCCAGTACTTTGGGAGGCCGAGGCAGGTGGATCACGAGGTCAAGAGATCGAGACCATCCTGGTCAACATGGTGAAACCCCGTCTCTACTAAAAATACAAAAAATCAGGTGGGCATGGTGGCACTTGCCTGTAGTCCCACCTACTCGGGAGGCTGAGGTAGGACAATCACTTGGACCTGGGAGGTGGCGGTTGCAGTGAGCCAAGATCATGCCACTGCACTCCAGCCTGAAGATAGAGCGAGACTCCATTTCAAAAAAAAGTTTAAAATCCTCATTTTGACATTAGCGTCAGCCATCCTCCTTCCCCTTCCACCAACCCTTAACTGGAGTTCTATACAGTTTAACTATCCGCTTCTCTGCTCTCCTCTGGCAGAGGCTTAAGGGGAGACTTATGGCCAGGGAGATGGACAGAGAAGACAAAGGCGTGGGTGATGCAGGCATGGAGTGTCTACCATGAGCTGGTGGGAGACTGGAGACTCTTCCGTAGAAACTCTCAGAAAAAGATGATCTCAGGTGGATGCTCACAGAGGAGCAGTTAGTTGTGTGAGCCCAGGATCTTCAGGGAGGGAGTAACAGCAGCAAGTCATAGGTAGTTTCGCCAAGGTTCCCACTAAGCAGAACACCAGGGCAGTGATCACAGTGCAAAAGGGCACTGGGTTGAGTCCAGAGAGGAAAGCTAAGGGGAACATGATAGACCAGGTGGGCAGTGATCAAGTCAGCTCAAGCAGTAAGGTTCAGGCCAAGGTTCTCCTCATCCTGGCAGGCAGGATGAGCCCCAGATCTGAAGAAATATACACAGGAGTGCCCATCCTCGGCCAGAAGTTGTTTGCCTGCTGCTCTCCTTCCAGCCATGGGTGGCACGGGGACTCTGTGGGGACAGCTTTCTCCCAGCTGGGGCAGGACCTGGAATCCAGGCCTCCTTCCAGCTCCTTGCAGTGAATAAAGCATGTTACCTCCTCTTTTATTCAGGCTACCGAGAAACCCAATGTGGGGCAGGGCCCTGCGACTCCTCAGTCCTGAAGGGCAGACTCTTTTTTCTCCAGGAAATGGCCAGTGATGAACTGAGGGAGTTGAGGAATGCCATGACCCAGGAGGCCATTCGTGAGCACCAGATGGCCAAGACCGGCGGCACCACCACTGACCTCTTCCAGTGCAGCAAATGCAAGAAGAAGAACTGCACCTACAACCAGGTGTGGACCGTGAGGGGACAGGTCCGAGGGGGAAGGGGCCGCATGGCCATAGAGGTGGAAAACCAGAGAGAAGCTTAAGGAAGAGCCAGAGGGGAGAAAGGGTTAAAACTCTCTAGGCTTGGTCGGGTGCAGTGGCTCATGTCTGTAATCCCAGCACTTTGGGAGGCTGAGGCAGGTGGATGGCTTGAGCCTAGGCTTGGAGCAGCCTAGGCAACATGGTAAAACCCCATCTCTATTAAAAGTACAAAAATTAGCCAGGCTTGGTGGTGTGTGCCTGCAGTCCCAGCTACTGAATGCAGGGCAGGGTGGGGAGGGGGGAGAAATGGGTGCCGATGAGGCAGGAGAATCACTAGAGCCTGGGTGGTTGAGGCTACAGTGAGTTGAGGTTAGAGTGAACCACAATTGCACCACTGCGACCCAGCCTGGGTGACAGGAGTGTCGGGCTTTATTGTGGGATACCCAGTTCCTGCACCTGAGTGATGAGGCTAAGAGGATGAGAAACTAGAAAACATAACGCTAAATAGTCCCAATGATATTTAAGTCCCTTTTCCTCTCTGGGCCTCAGGTCTTCCACCAGTAAAATAAGGAAGATAAATTAGACCGCTAAGGTGCTTCCAGCTCACTCAAGTGAGCATGTCCAGTAGGGGGTGTTCACGGGTGAATCAGGGAATACTTCCTGTAGGAGATGAGTCTTGAGGCAAGAGAAGAGAGATCTGTTATGAAAGATCAACAAGGGTGAGAGTGCAAATTAGCTGGGCATGGTGGCGGGCAACTGTAACCCCAGCTATTCAGGAGGCTGAGGCAGGAGAATCGCTTGAACCCAGGAGGCAGAGAGTGCAGTAAGCAGAGATTGCACCATTGCACTCCAGCCTGGGTGACAAGAACAACACTTCGTCACACACAAAAAAAGGCTGGGCGTGGTGACTCACACCTGTAATCCCAGCACCACCTTGATGGCCGAGGTGGGTGGATCATTTGAGGTCAGGAATTCTAGACCAACCTGGCCAACGTGGCGAAACCTCACCTCTACTAAAAATACAAAAATTAGCTAGGCGTGGTAGCGGGCACCTGTAGTCCCAGCTACTCGGGAGGCTGAGGCAGCAGAATTGCTTGAACCCAGGAAGCGGAGGTTGCAGTGAGCCGAGAAGGCACCACTGCACTCCCATCTGGGCAACAGAGCAAGACTCCAGTCTCAGAAAAAAAGAGTGAAAGTGCAAAAGTCCAGGTGAAACCAGTGAGGTACTGGGAGTGAGCTGATGGACTGCCAGAGGAGAAGAAGGCATACATTATGGAGTTGCCAGTGATAAGGAAATTGCCAAAGCGGGGTGGGAATATTAGTGCCAACTTCTGGGATTTCGACCTACTCCCAAAGACAGTGGGAGCCACGGCAAGTCCTAGAGCAGGGGAGTGACTTCATGAATGGTTCTTCTCTCTCTCAGGTGCAGACACGCAGTGCTGATGAGCCCATGACTACCTTTGTCTTATGCAATGAATGCGGCAATCGCTGGAAGGTCTGTATGTTTATATATTGCCCCCTTCCCTGTCAGCCACAGAGCTTGCCCACATAAAGAGTAGCATCCCCGCCGGGCGCGGTGGCTCAAGCCTGTAATCCCAGCACTTTGGGAGGCCGAGGCGGGTGGATCACAAGGTCAAGAGATCGAGACCATCCTGGTCAACATGGTGAAACCCCATCTCTACTAAAAATACAAAAATTCAGCTGGGCATGGTGGCGTGTGCCTGTAATCCCAGCTATTCAGGAGGCTGAGGCAGGAGAATTGCCTGAACCCAGGAGGCGGAGGTTGCGGTGAGCCGAGATCGCGCCATTGCACTCCAGCCTGGGTAACAAGAGCGAAACTCCGTCTCAAAAAAAAAAAAAAAAAAAAAAAAAAAAAGAGTAGCATCCCCACACCCAGAAGGGGCCTTATGCATGGCAGCGCTTGCCAGCCTGCACAGAGTAGCCTGCAGAGCCAGAGATAGTGGTGGCTTGCTGTTGGGGAGGAGAGGAGAGAACACACATGTATGTTTTCATTTTGGAAAGACACCAAGCTGGAGTGGGGGCAGCAGCCCACATTTTATCACAGGATGAGCAAGTTTGTCATTTGAGCACAGATGGAATTGGCTTCCTGAGATCCACAGAGGAGAGGAAAAACAATAACATTCTGCACTTGGACCACACCTCTTTGGAAAGTGCTTCCACAGATGGTATTTCCTTTGAACCTGGCCACAGCCAGGGATGGGAGACAGGAAGGCTGAGCCCTGTCAGAAATGAGTTGACCCTAAATGTCACCAGGTCATCCTCCCCTCCTGAGGAAGCTCTGGAAGTCTTACATTACGCAAGGCTGTAACTCAGACTGCCTCGGCTCCTGCAAAGGCAGAGGTTTTGTTTTCAGGCATGGGAGCCAAGCAAAGACTCCTCCCAGAGTGCTCCTTCCCGCCAAGTCTCCTGGAGGAACGAAGCATGGTCACATGACTAATGTCAGTCTCCAATTGCTATCTGACTTGCACGTGCACCATGTGATGTCTGGGCCACCAAGCAGGCTGCAGGTGCTCCAGAATTTCTAAGGTACTTAGCAAGGAGTGCAAGGCAAGTCAGGATCCCTGGTTTCAGGTCCCATGCTGCCCTACTCACCCTGAGCATGTTACTCACCTCCTTCAGCAAAAGAGCAATAATAATGCCTTTCTCCCAGGGTTGATGATGTGAGGATCATTTTGAGATGATCATCATGAGGATCATTTTGACATTATTATGTAAGCATAAACACTTTGCAAACAATGACAAGGACTGTTCCTTTATAATGTTATTCTCACTTTCAGACAAGGAAACTAACTACAGAATAGGTAACAAGCATAAAGCCACAGTTTAAAACACTGAAAGCCAATGCTCCAACTTCCTAATCAATTGTTTTTTTTTTTTTTTCTCCTTTTTTTTTTTTTTTTTTTTTTTGGGGTGGAGTTTCGCTCTTGTTACCCAGGCTGGAGTGCAATGGCGCGATCTCGGCTCACCGCAACCTCCTCCTCCTGGGTTCAGGCAATTCTCCTGCCTCAGCCTCCTGAGTAGCTGGGATTACAGGCACGTGCCACCATGCCCAGCTCATTTTTTGTAGTTTTAGTAGAGACGGGGTTTCACCGTGTTGACCAGGATGGTCTCGATCTCTTGACCTCGTGATCCACCCGCCTCGGCCTCCCAAAGTGCTGGGATTACAGGCTTGAGCCACCGCGCCCGGCCCTTTTTTCTCTTTCTTACTAAGGACGTCAGTAGCCCTTATTGGGGCCTCATTAGAACTGCCATTTTTTTTTTTTTTTTTTTTTTTTTTGAGACATAGTCTCGCCCTGTCGCCCAGACTCGACGGCAGTGGTGCAATCTCGGCTCACTGCAACCTCTGCCTTCCAGGTTCAAGCGATTCTCCTGCCTCAGCCTCCTGAGTAGCTGGGATTATAGGAGCATGCCACCATGCCCTGCTAATTTTTGTATTTCTTTAGTAGAGACGGAGTTTCACCATGTTGGTCAGGCTGTCTCTAACTCCTGACCTTGTGATCCACTCTCCTCAGCCTCCCATAGTGCTGGGATTATAGGCATGAGCCACTGCACCCAGCCAGAACTGCCACATTTTTTAAGGTAAAAACCAGATGATTACATATTTTTTCTTTTTTCACTTATTGAGCACTTAGGGATGGGGTCAGTATAGTGGCCTACTGGTTTAAAGCATAGGCTTTGGCAGCAGGCTCAAATCTTAGTTTTACCCCTTACAAAGTGACTTAGCTCAGCAACCTGAACTCACTAAGCCTGGATTTCCTCAACTATAAAACGAAGGTATTTATATCTAGCCCACAGAGCTGTTTTGAGAAGGTAACACATGTAAAGCTTATTAACAGGGCCTCTGAGAGCTCATATGGCATCTTTTCAAATTAGGAAAAAGTGTTGCTTGGAGGAAGGCTCCAAGTGACAGAGCCTCATGCCAGGGTGCAGAGCAAACAGAGCAGGGGCTAAGTGTCAGCCTCAACATGCACCTTTGGCCAGGCTCTTTTGTGCAGTCAACAAATTATACAATACAAAAAAAGCCCTGAGCACAGGCATGCCTGGTACGTAAAAACCACTATTCTTACTATTTTGGGTATGTCATCTACTAGTATTATGGGAGTTTGGGCAAGTCACTTAACCTCTCTGATCTGCTTTTTCTTTTTTTTTTTTTTCTTCTTCTTCTTCTTTTTCTTTTCTATTTATAGAGATGGGGTTTCGCCATGGCCAGGATGGTCCCGATCTCTTGACCTCGTGATCTGCCCACCTCGGCCTCCCAAAGTGCTGGGATTACAGGCGTGAGCCACCACACCCGGCCTGATCTGCTTTCTTACCTGTAAAAATAGAAGTGATACGCCAGGCCTGGTGGCTCACACCTATTATCCCTTGCACTTTGGGAGGCCGAGGTGGGCAGATCACCTGAGGACGGGAGTTCAAAACCAGTCTGACCAACATGGAGAAACCTCATCTCTACTAAAAATACAAAATTAGCTGGGTGTGGTGGTGCATGCCTGTAATCCCAGCTACTCAGGAGGCTGAGGCAGGAGAATTGCTTGAACCTGGGAGGTGGAAGTTGTGGTGAGCCGAGATCTCCCCATTGCTCTCCAGCCTGGGCAACAAAAGTGAAATTCCATCTCAAAAAAAAAAAGGAGTGATATTAGGGCCTACCTCACAGAGTGATTGTAAGGGTGAAATGAGTTAATACATTTTAATACTATCTAGCACAGAGTAAATGCTCAATAAATGTAGCTCTTGCGATTTTGTTGCTGCTGGAGAAAAGACATTCTGAATGCTCTAAATCTAGCTCCTCCTCCTTGACTCTTACTAGTTGGAGAGACAGGATCCACTAGAGATAACAACTACAGGCATCTGAACACATTTTCAGATGGTGTCCATTGCCCTGTGGGAGACTGAAAGTCTAACCAAGTGCTTAGTAGTCATTCCAATGATGTTCTCGATCATAAATTAAGAGCCCGGCACATTCCTGGCACTGAATTGCCATTCATGTTATTATCTGATATCACTCTCGAATTCACCAGCATTATAAGCTAATTTTACTAGGTGAGTGATTTAGTCAAGATCACCCAGCTAATAATGGCAGAGCTGGGCTTTGGATTCTGGTGCGTGTGGCTCCAGATCCCACCTTCTTTTTCATATTCCCCCACAGCCTGCTTGGAGGATGCAGAGAAACCTTTCACATTTTGTTGCCTTTTTGGTTTTGTAGTTCTGCTGATGGAACAGCCAGGACTGACATGAACAAGGTGAGGAAGAACAAAGAGGAAGCACTAAACTGTCTGAACTGGAGAAGCAATAAAAATTAAAGTGAAGAAAAATACTGACCTCTGAATAGGTGGTATGAGTTGAAGGAAGAATTCTCTTGCAAATTAATAATCGGTCATTAGTAACAATTGGTTAATAGGGGAAGCTTGCTGGGGGTATGATGCTGAGAATCCGTATTGATGAACCTCTTATAGAAACTGCAGAGGGCCGGGCACAGTGGCTCATGGCTGTAATCTGCAAACTCTGGGAGGCTAAGGTGGGAGAATTGCTTGAGCCCAGATGTTTGAGGCCAGCCTGGGCAACATAGCAAGACCCCATCTCTATAAAAATAAAAGAAAAAGAAAAAATAAAGAAACTGCAGCACCTCAGACCTGAGGTGTGGTATCTTTGACAGTGGGCTGGCAGATCTTTGCTTTGAGTTCCTTCTCTCTCACCTGGATCTCCCAGCCTCTTCTGAATTGAAAAATGCTAGATCAACACAAACCTCAGAGTCACACATGAAGAACAGTTGATACACCATTTGGGTTCAGCAGATATTCCTTCCATACCATGTATTAGGTTGCTGCAAAAGTAATTGCGGTTTTTGCAATTACTTTTGCACTGGCCTAATGGAAATATTTCTTCCCCACTCTTTCCTTATCTCTTCCCAAACTCTCTGCTATTCCCTGTTCACAGCTGGCTGTGGGGGCCTTTCAGGACTCCAAGCCATATCCCTCTAGGCAGGGAACAAATCCTCCTGAGGTAGGCTTTCTGAGTGAAGGTGACAGCAGCACCCTGATTTCCATGGCCCCTTGAGAGTCCTGAGCCTCCGAATCTGCCCAGGCCCTTATAAATGTGTCCCTCACAGCTCCATCTGTGACGTGTGCTTCAGAAGACAGCCGCAGAACACAGGGACCTTGACATGCTTCTCCCATGATAATTATCAGCTTGCTTTTTTGTTTTTGTGTTTGTTCTTTTTTAGAGGCTGGAGTGCTGTGGTGTGATCTAGGCTGACTGCAACCTCCACCTCCCAGGTTCAAGCAATTCTCCTGTCTCAGCCTCCCGGGTAGCTGGAGTCCCAGGCATAAGCCACCAAGCCCAGCTAATTTTTGGAATTTTTAGTAGAGACGGGGTTTCACCCTGTTGGTCAGGCTAGTCTCGAATTTCTGGGCTCAAGTGATCCACCCTCCTCAGCCTCCCAAAGTGCGGAGATTGCAGGTGTGAGCCACCTCGCCTGGCCTTGGCTTGCTTTTCATGCTGACAGGAACTTTTGGCAAAGCTGAAAACTTCTAGAAAAACCTTGAGAAAGCTGTTGGGGCAATTACAGCCCAAGTTCCTGATATATCCTGGACATCATTGACTCTAGAATTGGTTATTGTCTTCTTCCTTCCATCCAAAAGTGCCTTCTCCTGTAGATGAAGCCTGGAAATAAACTAGGTACAGGAGTCTTCCACTGACTGTGACTTTTATTTTTATGTTATGTATTTATTTATTTATTTGACAGAGTCTCACTCTGTCACCCAGACTGGAGTGCAGTGGTGTAATCTTGGCTCACCTCAACTTCCGCCTCCTAGGCTCAAGCAATTCTCCTGCCTCAGCCTCCCGAGTAGCTGGCATTACAGGCACGCACCACTACCACCCGGCTAATTTTTGTGTTTTTATTAGAGATGGGGTTTCACCATGTTGGCCAGGCTGGTTTTGAACTCCTGAGCTCAAATGACCCACCCACCTCAGTCTCCCAAAGTGCTGAGATTACAAGCGTGAGCCACTGCGCCTTGTCCTGTCTTTGACGGTTTAAAAAAAAAATTTTTTTTTTAGATGGAGTTTTGCTTTATTGCCCAGGCTGGAGTGAGATGGTGCAATTTTGGCTCATTGCAACCTCCACCTCTTGGGTTCAAGCGATTTTCCTGCCTCAGCCTCCCAAGTAGCTGGTATCATAGGCGCCCACTACCACAGCCAGCTAATTTTTTTTGTATTTTTAGTAGAGATGGGGTTTTACCATGTTATCCAGGCTGATCTTGAACTACTGACCTCAGGTGATCCACTCACCTTGGCCTCCCAAAGTGCTGGGATTACAGGCATAAGCCACCACGCCAGGCCCATCTTTGACTTTTAAAAAGTTAGATTTGGGGTGAATCATTTCTTTGGAAATATCACAAATCCTCTTACAGATGATACAACAGGCTGAGCTCATAAGTAGCAGAGGCAGGACAGAAACCCAGGTCTTCTGCTTCCTGTCATTGTGCTATAAGAGATCCAGAGCTATACACAGCACTCAGCCTCTACCTTCCAGGAAGTCACAGCCTGGCAGGGAAAGAACCATAGGCACAGATTTCCACACCAGATGGGATGTGATAAATGCCACATACATCTGAGGGACCAATATTATCCACAGACGTGCCGGGGATGTTGCTTAGAAACCCAGATGTTTCTTAAACTTTAATACAGGTGAGAATTCACTAGGGATTGTGCTGAAATGCAGATTCTAATTCAATGGGTCTGGGGTGGGGCTTGAGATTATTCATTTCTTTCTCTCTCTCTCTCTCTTTTTTTTTTTTTTTTTTTGAGACAGGAGTTGCCCAGACTGGAGTGCAGTAGCACCATCATGGCTCACTGTAACCTTGATCTCCTAGGCTCAGGTGATCCTCCCACCTCAGCCTCTGGAGTAGCTGGGACTACAGGCATGCACCACCGTGCCTGGCTAATTTTTTATTTTTTTAGAGATGGGGTATCCCTGTGCAGTCCAGTCTGGTCTCAAATTCCTGGGCTCAAGCAATTCTTCTGCCTTAGCCTCCCAAAGTGCTGGGATTACAGACATGAGCCACTGCACCCAGCTGATTTTTCATTTCTAACCCCAATGCAGCTGGTCCATAGACCATACTTTGAGTAGGAAGGCGTTAGATATCCAGATTTTTCTCTGTATTATCTAATCCTCCATCCAAATGTCTAGAAACCAAAAGCAGAACAAAAAGCAACCACTGTCAATTTAATAAGGCCAATAAAGGTTACTTTTGGGTGAGTTTTGTTTTGTTTTGTTTTGAGAGTGAGTCTCACTCTGTCACCCATGCTGGAGTATAGTGGTGCAGTCTTGGCTCACCGCAACCTCCATCTCCTGGGTTCAAGTGATTCTTCTGCCTCAGCCTCCCGAGAATTGGGGTTATAAGTGTGCACCACTATACCCGCCTAATTTTTGTACTTTCAGTAGAGATGGGGTTTCACCCTGTTGGCCAGGCTGGTCTTGAACTCCTGACCTTAGGTGGTCTGCCTGCCTCAGCCTCCCAAAGTGTTGGGATTATAGGCATGAGCTACTGCGCCTGGCCTTGGGTGAGTTTTTTTTTTAACTCTACATTATGGGGCAATTTTCAGTAGTCATGGTCTAAATATCTGTGGTGTTTTCTGTGTCATATCATAGGGATTTAGAGCATGGGGGGAAAAAACTAATTTTCACGCTCAGTAACCTTACTGTTTACAAAGGAGATGAGTTAAACAGCAAAACAACAAGTCAGCTCAAGTCCACACATCTATACAGTATACATCCACATTGACCAAAGGACACAGAAGAGTATGGATAGGCCACAGACTGTCATCAGCAGGCACCAAAACCCTCCCTGTGGGCCTTCCAGTGTCTAAGTGTCCACTCTGGATCCACCCCAATTCATGCTCTCCATGACTACTAACTGGAATAGGCTTTTCCAAATTGCAAAACTGATCCTTAGAGTCCCCCGCTCTACACCCCCATTTAAAACCTTCCATTTCCCACCCCCCCGACACACACTGCTCTTGGCAAGGTCTACATGGCCCTGCAGGGCTGGCCTGTGCCTCACCCCCGCACTTTGTGTCACAGTCACACTGGCCCTCTCTCAGTTCTTCATTGCATGCTGTGCTTCTCCCTGTCACGGAGTCTTTCCGCACACTGTTGGCTGGAACACATGGTTTAACCCCATCTCCTTCACAACCGAAGATGAAGAAGGTGTGAGCTACAAGCAAGTTAGCATTTACTTCTGCCCCCCAAGAAGGCTTCCTAGGGGAGGGGAGGTGGTTACCATACAGGAGGAAAAAAGGTCAAGTGAGGTGAAATAGGCAACAGGCTTGGAATGAAAGAGCTCAACAGAATATTATGTCCAAAAGAACTTGAAAATAGGCTGCGTGCAGTGCCTCATGCCTGTAATCCCAGCACTTTGGGAGGCCATGGTGTGCAGATCACTTGAGGTCAGGGGTTCAAGAGCAGCCTGGCCAATATGGTGAAACCCTGTCTCTATTAAAAACACAAAAAAATTAGCCAGGCATGGTGGCATGCACCTGTAATCCCAGCCACTCTGGAGGCTGAAGCAGGAGAATCACTTGAACACAGGAGGCAGAGATTGCAGTGAGCTGAGATTGTCACTGCACTCCAGCCTGGGTGACAAGGTCAAGACTCCACCTCAAAACAAAAAAGAACTTGAAAATGGAAGGTCAATTTGGGTGCTTTCAAAAGGTTCAAGGAACCTAAAATACTGTATAGGATGAGAAGTCTTTCTTAGTATTTTCATCCAGACTACCAAATCTCTCATTAGCTCCAGTTTTTCTTTAGCTCAAGACTTATATTGCCAAGTGCCTATTTGGATATCTCCTCCCAAGGACCCCAGTGACCCTCTCAATACTATAATACAGTTAATCTGAAACTGAACACACATTTCTGTTTTTTAATTAAAAAAATTTTTTTTGAGACAGGGTCTCATCCTGTCACCCAGGCTGGAGTGCAGTGGTGCAGTCACAGCTCACTGCAGTCTTGACATTTCAGGATCAAGTGATCCTCCTGCCTCAGCCTCCCAAGTAGCTAGAACCACACAACGTGCACCACCACCCCTGGCTAATTTTTTTTTTTATTTGTAGAGATGCCCTATGCCTTTTTTTTTAACCGAGGTCCTGGAGGCTTTTATTTCTGACTGTGTCAGTGGGCCCTTGTCCTTTTCTTGGCTTTGGTGCTTCATCGTCCACCTCTGCTCTCCCTTATGCTCCAAGCTAAAGGAGATATTTGCCCTGTGTTTGAATACCCAATGGGCCTTCCCATTTGTGACTGCCTATACTGCTTCCTTCTCCCCAGCCCGATCCAAATGTTAACCATTCTTCAAGGCTCACCTCAAGTGCACATCTTCTTATGAGGTCTCTGATCCCCCAGCAACATGAGATAGTTCCTCAGAACTCCCATAGCATCGTGAAATTCTCATAGCACACATTGTATTCTACTGATGATGATGATGATGATGATGATGATGATTCCTTTAAAATTTCTTTGATGATGGTGTCACTAATATCTATTATCACTGAGCATTTACTAGCTGAATATCTTGGGCACATTATACAACTTCTGCATGCTTCTGCTTTCATCTGTAAAACAGTGGTAATAACAGCTCCTAGCTCAAAGGGTTGCTGTGAGAATTCATTTAGTTAATACAAAGAAAGCAGGAGAATCAGGCCTAACACATAGCGACTGATTAGTAAATGTTAGCTATTGTCATTACTATGAGTGCAGGGTAGCACTTTATATTGATTGCCTCAATGAACCCTCTGACTTCATGAACTAGGTTACTATTATTATATTATTTTTAAAACATTGTAGTAAACTACATATAACATAAACCATTTTAACAATTTTATTTATTTATTTTGAAACAGTCTCTCCTTTTGGAATAATAGAATGCAATACTTTACTCTCAAAAAAAAAAAAAAAAAAACAGTCTCAGTCTCTCTCTGTCACCCAGACTGGAGTGCAGTGACGCAATCTTGGCTCATTGCAACCTGCGCCTCCTAGGTTCAAGTGATTCTCATGCCTCAGCCTTCTGAGTAGCTGAGATTAGAGGTGACCACCACACCTAGCTAACTTTTGTATTTTTAGTAGAGATGGGGTTTCACCATGTTGGCCAGGCTGGTCTCCAGCTCCTGGCTTCATGTGATCCACTGCCCTCAGCCTCCGAAAGTGCTGAGATTATAGGCATGCGCCACCACGCCCAGCCCATCTTAACAATTTTAGGTGTATAGTTCAGTAGGGTTAAGCACATTTACATTGTTGTACAACCGGTCTCTAGAACTCTTCATCTTGCAAACTGAACCTTTATACTCCTTAAATAACTCATTTCCTTCTCCCCCAAGCCCTGGAAAGCACTATCCTTCTTTCAATGACTTTGTATTATTATAGTCTTTACAGACTAAGAAAACCAAGGTTCTGAGAGTAATTTGTTTTTAGAGAAAGAATCTGGATTTGAACCCAGAGCCCGGGTCATGCTCTGAGCCACTTTGAAATATGTTCACTTCACACATCTGTGATGTTTTCCCTTCCCCCATAATAGTGATGGCCATTGTGTGCCAAGGCCCTCCTCTATACCATTCTCACATTTAATCCACACAGCATCCCTGTAGTCGTCGTGAGGGGTGGTGTCCTATTTCCCAGACCAGCAGCTGATACAGAATAGGGTTCAGTGGGTATGGGTCTGTTTGATGTCTTTAAGTAGGCAAATAATACTAAATAAATTTGTATGGCATTTTTTTTTTTTTTTTTTTTTTTTTTTTTTTGAGACAGAGGTTTGCTCTGTCACCCAGGCTGGAATGCAGTGGTGTGATCTTGACTCACTGCAAACTCCGCCTCCCAGGTTTAAGCAATTCTCCTGCCTCAGCCTCCTGAGTAGCTGGGATTATAGGCATGAGCCACTGTGTCTGGCTAATTTTTGTATTTTTAGTAGAGACAGAGTTTCACCATGCTGGCCAGGCTGGTCTTGAACTCTTGATCTCGTGATCCACCCGCCTTGGCCTCCCAAAGTGCTGGGATTACAGGCGTGAGCCACCATGCCCAGCCTTGTATTGCATTTTTAATGCCATTGTCTACATTTTTGGAAAATATTGATTCTTTTGGAGAAAACCAACTGAAATGCATGAGGTCATAAAGAGCTTCCCAATCATCTCCACTTCCCCCTCCTCCTGCAGAGTCAATCTGCTCTCCTCACCCCAGGCCAGTCCCCAGGCCTCCCCCATCTTTACCTCATCACTAGCTTTGCCATTCACAGCCAAAGGCAAAGACAAACAGGCAGGCAGGCAAGGGGACATAAGGAACTGTCCCTGCTCTGCTTCCTCCCCCTGCTGCTCCACCCCCACACCATTCCCTCTAGCCATAACCAATCCTGACCAACCTGGAACATGCTTTGGCCTTTCACGCCTCCGTGCCTTCGCACATGCTGTTCTTGAAGACTGGAATGCTTTCCCTCCCACCTTCTCCACCTCCAGACTCCTACAGTCTTACCAGCTCAGATGTCACCTCCTCGGTGAAGCCTCCCTCACTCCCCGCCAGCTAGGAATCCACCCCCTTCTCGGTGCAGACTAGCTCACCCCTTATTATAGCACTTGGACTGCAATGACTGTTTGCAAGTCAGTGTGTCCCCCATGTCCCCAACTCCCTGTGCAGTGATGAGCCTTTATCACCCCTCCTAGCAGGGGTCATGAGAAGCCCAGGTCATTTTGACTTTTTGAGGTGCCCTGTCTGTTTGAAAATGAAGAGGTGACAAAACAGGATTACACATATCAAGGCATGTTTTAAAATGTTTAGCAAGTTCATGTTTTTGATACAAAAAACTATGACAATTGTGCTGCTCACAAGATAATTATAAGATTTATTAAAATATAAGAACTTACAGTGCTCCAAAGGCACAGTGGCCTGATAACAGAGTATAGCTTTAAGGATATACAAGGAGGGTCTTTGATCACATCGGCCAGTGGATCCAACATCATGTTTAACCTTATTTAGAGATAATGTTGAGAGCCTAAATTGGAGACCCTGACCAAATGGCTCTTCTGGCCTCTTGCCCAGTGATGACAGGCTGTACTGCTGCCTTTGCACACAGTAGGTATTCACTGTTTGCTGAATCATGGGAACGAATACAGCTTTCCAAGTTGGTTACTGAAAACCCACATACAGTAAGTATTCCCAAGAAACACTGCAGTCCTGAACAATGGAGCAGGAAGCCACCTCCTCCTCCAGTGACCCCAACCCTGAGTCCAGCTGAAGGCTGCAACAGGAAGCCCCTCAGCCACTGTCCTTCCACTCCCTCTTCCCCACTCCCCCCAGGGGCTTCAGATGCAGTCATGCTTTCCATCCGCTCCCAGCCTCTCTTCTCTTTCCAACCTTTGGAGGGTCCCAGGTGAAGAAAGAAAAAAGCACTTACAGAAGGAGGCAGGCAGCCAAGCTGAGCCCGGGAGAGTTGTCCTGGGCGCCACCCCGCCCCCGCCCTGCAGGCCTGAGGAATAAAAGAAACAGCAAGAAGACAAAGAAGGGCTTAAAGCACTGGGGCAAAGGAGTGGGGGAAGGCCTAAGAAAGTTTACAAAGCAATCTGTCAGAGAAGGGATGAAAACGGAACCCCGCTGGGCTGAGGGGCTCAAGCCCTCAGCTCACCTTAGGCCCAGTTAGAAACCTGCAATTATTTCAGCTGGTCTGAAAGGCAACCCTCCTCTCTCCAAGAAGCATAGTTATTAACCTCTGACCCAGAAATTTCCCTGAGTCTGAAGCTGGGGTTTTGGCAGCCCCAAGTACCTATGCCCTACTAGACTCAACACACCACTCACTTGAACCCACCAAACAGGCCCAACCTCTGTTCCGTCTGAATTTCCGGAAGAAACACAATGTGAGGATAATGTCACCCTCTTATCCACACAACTATTGAGCCACTTTGATTTCCAATATTTTCTTAACCAATATACCCACAAGCATTTCTGGAAGTTTCCCTTACCGCCAAAGCCAGGGTTAATAAAAAGTAACGGCTATCATCCAAGAGCACACTCTCTGGAGCCCTTTAATCATCTCACTCAGGACTCACAACAACCTTAGGTATGATGACCCTCATTTTAGAGAAAACGAAATGGGCCTGGATTCAATGACTTCCCAAAGGATACACAGCCTGGTTTCCAAACCAGGTCTGTCTGACCTTGAGGCCCACATTCTTTCCACTGGAGATACTGCCTCTTGGAGACCCTCCAGGACTCAATTTTAGGTGTTTCTTGAATCAATTTTAATTTTTGTAGCCAGTCAAATTTAGCAATCGGGGGTTGAATAACAACTTTAGTTACATTAATGTTACTACATTTTGGTAACCCAAGGGACCAGCCTCGGATCAATTTTAGATGGGATAGGATGGTATAATTCTGCGACATCTGAAGAATCCCTAGCCCCACAGTTGCTGGTGGAAAGAGAAGGAATGGGAAAGTCTGCATTATGGCTGGCTCGGGTCCTTTTAGCTCTTTTTAGACACTTGAGTAATTTAATCATAAGTAACTGGGCACTGGGAAAAGGACACTCACTAATAAAAGCATGGCCTGGAGTTACGTTTGAAAAAAATTTTCAAGTTCCTCAGTGGGTGGATCTATCCGCAAAACAAAAGAAAGGCCCCTTTCCCAGCCTAGGAAGAGAAGTCTCCTGTACAGTTAGAGACAACAGGCTTCCGGGCACATAGCCAAGGTTCTGGGGATATTTATAACTTGAAGAGGGTGGGAGTCCCTAATAAGCTGCTATATTCTTTTTCCATCACTTCCCTCTCCAAGGCTACAGCGAGCTCGGAGCTCTTCCCCACGCAGAATGCTTGCTTTCCCTAGTGCTCGACTCTCATTGTCTAATTCCCTCATTCTGGCTGGGGAAAGGGAAAGCTGTGAGTCCTCCCGGTCCGAGGAGATCCAGCTGAATGCAGCTTAGTCGCTGGTGGTTTCTTGGCCAGCCTCTGTGGTCTCAGGGATCTGTCTACGAGCCTGTGGTTTCTCTCAACTGCCTGCAAGTCTGAGACCTCGGGAATCTGAGTCTTTAGGATCTGCCTACGATATCTGGGCTTCGCCTGCAAGTCTACCGATTTGAGATCTACCTGCCAGTGCACTCTAGAATCTTTCCGAACGCCAGGTCTGAGCGTACGCTGGTGCTTTGGGATCCGTTCGTGGTCTCTCAGATTTTGGAGCCGACGATCTAGTGGATCTTTTGAGGGACAGGAGGTAAGTGTTCGTCCCCCTACTCGGGCTTTTGGCTGCCTATCTTCAACCAGACAGGGACTGCTAACATCCTGAAGGCCCGCCTGATTTAAGGCCTCAGACGCCCACGGTCCCTTCGGTGCGGGAGGCCGCCAACAGCCCTAGTAGCAGACAAGCCCTCGGGGACGATAAGGAGGGCTCGCCCTCCGCCCCAGGGTCTGGCTATCTCCCCCTTACACGCCCTATACCGCCACTCTGAGTTCCCCCAAGATTTTCGCCTCCTCGCCGCTGGGCGCCACTCAGTCCGCTGCTCAAGGGGCGCCCTCCTGAAAAGGACGCGGTCGCACGCCCCTACAGGGTTAAAGCGCCGGAGCGGAGACACCGCCAGACTCGGCTGCAGACCACACTCCGGAGCCGCCAGGCGACGCGGGTCCTCTCGGGAGTTGTATTCCGGGAAGAGCCGTGCGACCGCAGGCCCTGCTGGGAAATGTAGTGCGTGGGCGGGGCTCAAAGTTCTAGCGCGGCCTCCGAGTCTACCCTGGGGAGTGGGCGGCTGCCGCTTCCCTCTCCGACCTGGGCTGTCAAGCAAGGGCTAATTCTAGATCAGCTCAACATATGCCAGCGCCTAAATTAGGCCTGACTTCGCAGATAATAAGGCCCGACTCAAGAGAATCTTCTAGGGACGTGAGGCGAAGCACGCAGCCTCCTTGGCTTAATCGTGCTGCAGTCTCCACGAGAAGAAAGCGAGAGTACGTCGCCCTGACCGGGAGGACGCGCTTACTTCTCTTTTGTTCTTTTCCCTCCTTGGCTCTTGGCCGCTGCCTGGCTTTTGTACGCGGGAGTAGAACTCCAACTCCCGGCAGGCCATGGGGGCAAGCGCAGGCGTACTAGAGGCTCTTGGCCACGCTGTGGGACGCGGGCCTAGTGTTCCGCCTCTGATTGGCGGGGTGTTTTACCAGCATCGCTCGCTGATTGGCTGAGGCAGCTGCCGGAAAGGACCCGGCCTCGAGATGGCCGAGCGGAGGCGTTCCCTGGGCTGGGCTGAGCGCCTCCTCCCTGAGACAGCAGCCGTCTGACCCCCGGCGCGGGAGGGATCCAGCCAGGGGGCTGTCCTAGTAGATTCTGGCATTGCCTCCACCCCGCAGTGGCCGCGACACAGAGGGCGGGTCGCGCTTGAGGGTCAGGGAGGAGAGTGACCCGGCCCCAGTCCAGGGCCCTCCCTGCCCGCCTTACAGCCAGAACTCCAGCCCTGGGGAGTGGGCAGGGCCTGTTTTCCGTGCCTCACGCCCTGCTTTTCGCCTCCTTCAGCGCTGTCTGCTAGCTGCTTTTCCTGCTTTCTCTCCCAGGAGGCGAATCCTTGCGCTGGAGATGGCAGCCACCCTGCTCATGGCTGGGTCCCAGGTAAGCCAGGGGTGGCTTCTCGGACCTTCTCTCTGCGTACCCGCCTCGTCCGGCGTTTCTCTGCACTGCAGGTTCCTGTAGGAAATTCCCTGGGATTAGTAATTCGCTTGCTTCGATATTCTGCCTGCAGGGGCCCAGTACCAGACCGTTATAGTCACAAACAAGCATATATCGAACACCTGCTGTATGCCTTTAAATACTGGGGAAATAAAAGATGGACGAGATGGGCGCTACCTTCCAGCTCACAGCTCACAGTTCACAACCTGTAGGGAGAGAGACGCATCCGTTTGAGCGTGACACAACGTGATAGTGCTCTGTTTGCTGTAGGAACAAAGTGCTGTAGTGTGGGAATCACTCCCAAGAAGTGGGAATGATTAAGTCTATCTGGGGAGTCCAAGGGGAGTGGAGCGGTGTAGAGGGATAGGGGGCATTGAAGAACAGTTGGTACTGGAGCGGGACCTTAATAAGCAGTAGAATTTCACCAGTGGGAGGAGGATATTTCAGGAAAAGAGGAACATTGTGAGTAAAGGTATGGAGTGATGCAAGTGCCAGATGTGTCCTGAGAAAGGCACAGCCAGAAGATAAAGTTCTTGAGTGGGGCAGGGATAGCTGGCCATGGGACAGAGCAATTGACTCATAAATTGCTCCCTTCTTTACCACATCTCTTTTTTGCTTGCTTATTTCTTCTTTGGACTCTACAGATAACACTTAATATCTTTTCCTCCTCAGTATTTCTAACCATGTTTCTAATTTCAAGATGTCCCAAATACAGAATAGTGAGGAAGCATTGTGTGATTTCAGGCACCTGTGACGTTTGAAGATATGGCCATGTATCTCACCCGGGAAGAATGGAGACCTCTGGACCCGGCACAAAGGGACCTTTACAGGGATGTTATGCAGGAGAATTATGGCAATGTTGTCTCACTAGGTAAGTCAGGATTCTACCTTTCTTTGCCTCCATGTTTTTGAGATGGTGTCAAAATGACTTAGTTCTTCAACACAGCCTGTTTGATTTTTAAAGCACTTAATTGGATATTGTCTTGACTTGAGTCCTCAGGCAAATGTTTGAATGTGGGAACATCCAGGTCATATTGTCTAAAAAGAAAAAAAAAAATGTTTCTGTACATTTTAGAAACGTTCAGATTTCTTGTGCCCTGAGTCATTTTCCATTCTCCAGCCTGTTTGTACAGATCAGTGACCAAACAGGTCTGGCATAATAGTGCTTGCCAGTATATAAATGCCCCCCTAAGTAGTGCTTTTTCTCTAGGGCACTAAAAGATGAGGGGATTCTGACCCAGGTTCATGGGAGGGCGAAAGCCACCTTTTTGCGTTTGTTTTGGCTTCAGAGCCCTAGCTTTGCCTCAGATTCCTTATCTGAGTAGGTTCTCATCTGGAGATGTTACAGTGTTGATAATGATGGATTTCGAGTGTGCCAAATGCTGTTCCATAAGAATGCTGAAATAGATCACAAATTCTATTAGAGAGGGCAGCTGATTTTTTTTTTTTTTAAACATCGTCTGCAAACCTGTTTTTTTTCTTTGCTGTACTTTGGTCGGGGTGTAACTAGAACAAACAGTATATTCTTGATCTGAACAGTCTTTTGACTCATTTTGTCTCCTGTCAAGACTTGACAGACATTAGCAAGCATGTATGGGTCACTAGGTCATCTGCCACTCATTAGGACGAATCCTTTTTTTTTAGAAATCTTTATTCCCGTAGTCTTTCCCAGAACAAAAGGCAACTCTGAAGGCTTTCCTTTTTAACTTGGGCTTTTCTCTGATGTCCCTAGTTTCTTGAATCCTTTTTTTATCGAAGTAACCATAAATAGTTATCTACCCAGATCTGTTGCAGTCTGTAACCCAAATATCCAACAAAAGCAAGAGATGACAATCTTTAAAAAATGTGAATTTACATTTCTGTAGTCTAGCCCCAAAAGCACTTGTTAGAAGAATGGAAGTACCAAAAAACTGGTTTCTTGCCCAAATAAGTTTGGGAATGGGTTTAAAAATTATGGGCATTTTTTTGTGTGTGTGTTTTTGAGACAGGATCTTGCTCTGTTGCCCAGGCTGGAGTGCAGTGGCACAATCACAACTCATTGCAACGTTGACTTCCCAGTCCCAGGTCCTCCTCCCATCTCAGCCTCCTGAGTAGCTGGGATCACAGATGTGTATCAACTTGCCTAGCTAATTCTTTCTATCTATCTGTCTGTCTATCTATCTATCTATCTATCTATCTATCTATCTATCTATCTATCTATCAGTCTGTCTGTCTATCTATTTAGAGATGGAGTCTCGCTCTGTCACCCAGGCTGGAGTGCAATGGCGTGGTCTCAATTCACTATAACTTCTGCCTCCCGGGTTCAAGCGTTTCTCCTGCCTTAGCCTCCTGAGTAGCTGGGATTACAGGCACCGGCCACCATGCCCAGCTTATTTTTGTATTTTTAATAGAGACAGGGTTTCACCATATTAGCCAGGCTGGTCTCGAAGTCCTGACCTTGTGATCTGCCCACCTCGGCCTCCCAAAGTGCTGAGATTACAGGCATGAGCCACTGCACCCAGCCTATTTATTTATTTTTGAGACACAGTCTCACTCTGTCACCCAGACTGGAGTGCAGTGGCCCTATTTTGGCTCACCGCAACCTCCATCTCCTGGGTTCAAGTGCTTCTCCTGCCTCAGCCTCCTGAGTAGCTGGGATTACGTGCACCTGCCACCATGCCAAGCTAATTTTTGTATTTTTAGTAGAGACGGGGTTTAACCATGTTGGCCAGCCTCGTCTCAAACTCCTGGCCTCAAGTGATCCACCCACCTAGACCTCCCAAAGTGCTAGGATTACAGTCCTGAGCCACCACGCCCTAGCCTCTTTTTATTTTTAATAGAAGTGAGGCCTCCCTATATTGCCCAGGCTGGTCTCAAACTTGTAGGCTCAAGTGATCCTCCTGTCTCAGCCTCCCAAAGTGCTGGGATTAAAGGCCTGAGCTACTGCATCTGGCCTTGTAAGGCCTTTTTACCTCAGGATTCCTTGGAACCTTTACTGTGTGATTAGACATTGTGAATTTTGAAGGAAGCAATATTTTATGTACCATTTAGCAACCTAGTTTATCTATAAACTCTTTTCTCCCAACATACATACTTTGTTTCTGAAGAGCGTACTAAGAAACCCAATGTGGGGAGTGCCGTGTCTGGTATAAAACTCCTTGTGGAGAGTGGTTGTGTATTTTGATTTTCATTTGAAGACTGTATGTGAAATATACTTAGACAATGCCAAGAATGTTCTCAGCCAGACATCTTTTTTTTGCCTCCTTCAATCTTCCCACTCCTATTTTCATTAAAAGGTCACTGAAAAGTAGAAAGTGACATTTGTCAGTCACGTTTCTGTCAACTAGGGCATAGGTAAAGATTCATTTTTCTCCACATTAACATAGTGAGTTCTGGCTGGGCATGGTGGCCCACGTCTGTAATCCCAACACTTTGGGAGGCTGAGGCTGGTGGATCACCTGAGGTCAGTAGTTTGGGACCAACCTGGTCAACATGGTGAAACCCAGTCTCTACTAAAAATACAAAAAATTAGCTGGGTGTGGTGGTGCTCACCTGTAGTCCCAACTACTCGGGAGGCTGAGGCAGAATTGCCTGAACCGAGGAGGTGGAGGTTGCAGTGAGCTGAGATCATACCATTGCACCCTAGCCTGGGCAACAAGAGTGAAACTCCATCTGGAAAAAAAAAAAACCCACAGTGGGTTCTTAGTAAATATTTCATGATGCTACTAATGATGAAGGCTTGGCAAGTTAAAAAATACACACACACTCACTTAAAATATCTAGACTCTTGGCTTTTAGTGATTCTAATTTAGTCTCATATTTTCTGCTTCCAGTTGTTCTTTCAAGACACCAGGAATATATATATATATATAGTTTTACTTATTTTCTTTTTTTAAGAGACAGGATCTCATTCTGTTACCCCGACTGGTGTGCAGTGGCACAATCACAGTTTATTGCAGCCTTGAACTCCTGGGCTTAAGTGATCCTCTCGCCTCAGCCCCCTGAGTAGCTGGGACTACAGTTACATGCCACCACACCCACCTAATTTTTAAAATTTTTTGTAGATATGGTTCTCCCTATATTGCCCACCCTGGTCTTGAACTCCTGGCCTTAAGTGATCCTCCTGACTTGGCCTCCTAAAGTGCTGGGATTATAGGAGTGAGCCATGGCACCTAGCCTGTACAGTTTTCTTAAGGAATCAATAAATTACAGCAATACAAAACATGAATTTTGACAGACCCTGAGTTTGAATCTTTGCTCTACCATTTGCTATGACCTTGAGCAAGTCAATTCACTTGTCTGGGTCTTGGATTTCTCATTCATGAAGTAGAGATCATCACAATTCCTGACTCTCAGGATAGCTGTGATGAAGAATATAGTAATTCATATAAAGAATGTGGGCCGGGCACAGTGGCTCACCCCTGTAATCCCAGCACTTTGGGAGGCTGAGGCAGGTGGATCACCTTAGATCAGGAGTTCGAGACCAGCCTGACCAATATGGTGAAACCCCATCTCTACTAAAAATACAAAAATTAGCCAGGCATGGTGGCATGCACCTGTAGTCCCAGCTACTCAGGAGGCTGAGACAGGAGAATTGCCTGAACCCAGGAAGTGGAGGTTGCAGTGAGCCAAGATCACACCACTGCCCTCCAGCCTGGGTGACAAAGCAAGACTCTGTCTCAAAAAAAAAAAATTTAGTACAGTGCCTGGCACAGAATAGGTAATTTTTGTACTTAAAGTCCTATTGTTTACTTTTTATTACAGATTTTGAGATCAGGAGTGAGAGCGAGGTAAATCCCAAGCAAGAGATTAGTGAAGATGTACAATTTGGGACCACATCTGAAAGACCTGTTGAGAATGCTGAGGAAAATCCTGAAAGTGAAGAGGCCTTTGAAAGCAGAGATAGGTCAGAAAGACAATGGGGAGATTTAACAGCAGAAGAATGGGTAAGCTATCCTCTCCAACAAGTCACTGATCTGCTTGTCCACAAAGAAGTCCATACAGGTATCCGCTATCATATATGTTCTCATTGCGGAAAAGCTTTCAGTCAGATCTCAGACCTTAATCGACATCAGAAGACCCACACTGGAGACAGACCCTATAAATGTTATGAATGTGGAAAGGGCTTTAGTCGCAGTTCACACCTTATTCAGCATCAGAGGACACATACTGGGGAGAGGCCTTATGACTGTAATGAGTGTGGGAAAAGTTTTGGAAGAAGTTCTCACCTGATTCAGCATCAGACAATCCACACTGGAGAGAAGCCTCACAAATGTAACGAGTGTGGAAAAAGTTTTTGCCGTCTCTCTCACCTGATCCAACACCAAAGGACCCACAGTGGGGAGAAACCCTATGAGTGTGAGGAATGTGGGAAAAGCTTCAGCCGGAGCTCTCACCTAGCTCAGCACCAGAGGACCCATACAGGTGAGAAACCTTATGAGTGTAACGAATGTGGCCGAGGCTTCAGTGAGAGATCTGATCTCATCAAACACTATCGAGTCCACACGGGAGAGAGGCCCTACAAGTGTGATGAGTGTGGGAAGAATTTCAGTCAGAACTCTGACCTTGTGCGTCATCGCAGAGCCCACACAGGAGAGAAGCCGTACCACTGTAATGAATGTGGGGAGAATTTTAGCCGCATCTCACACTTGGTTCAGCACCAGAGAACTCACACTGGAGAGAAGCCATATGAATGCAATGCTTGTGGGAAAAGCTTCAGCCGGAGCTCTCATCTCATCACACACCAGAAAATTCACACTGGAGAGAAGCCTTATGAGTGTAATGAGTGTTGGCGAAGCTTTGGTGAAAGGTCAGATCTAATTAAACATCAGAGAACCCATACAGGGGAGAAGCCCTACGAGTGTGTGCAGTGCGGAAAAGGTTTTACCCAGAGCTCTAACCTCATCACACATCAAAGAGTTCACACGGGAGAGAAGCCTTATGAATGTACCGAATGTGAGAAAAGTTTCAGCAGGAGCTCAGCTCTTATTAAACATAAGAGAGTTCATACAGACTAACACCTGTAATTATGATGACTGAGAAATGATTCATTTGAAGATACGATTTTATTTGATATCAATGAGCTCCCTCAAGACTGAGCTGCTTTTATCATACTCACTTTCCTAGTTGTGGGCCATGATTTAAACCATCAGAGATGACAAGCCATTTGAAATTCTGACCCACAGCTTTGGGAATGTTATCTCCTCCAAAATGGTGGTTTTTACTCACTCAATGGGTTACTTCATTAAAATCAGCCCCACAAGTAACTGGAAATCTGAAGACCAAGTGACAAATGCTGGTGAAGGCCCAGGCCTGGAAATGGAGTAAATCTTTAAATGTTATTTTCTCCCATCCTTGGCCAAAAGAACTAGGGGAAATGTGGGACTTTAATAGGGTGGTCACAGCTGCTTTGGAAAAAGGCAACTAGAGACCGTGCCTGAATTGCTATACCTATTCACACACCATAGTAGTTGGGCACACACATCTTCCTCTCCGAAGGGCTTTTTCCTTGAGGTGCTCATGCATTTGTATCTCTCCATCTTCCTGAGGGCTGGATTCCACCATGAAGGCAATGATTGTAACTTTTCTCCTTCTCATTGTTTCTAATTAGCTTGTTTAAAGCTTGCATCTTTGTGAAAGCTAACTGAAGATACAGTTGGAAAGGAAAAACAAGACACAGGTTTGGGGACCAAGGACCCATCAATGGTGGTGACTTTAGCAAAAGATGCCCATGGTTATTATTGCCATTAATCAGATTTATAAATTTTCTTTGGGGATCACTATAGGGAACATTATAGGGACAATATCTTCAAGGAAAGATAGGACCGTCAGTGACAGTTAAGTGTAAGGAGCAAGTGGAATTGACTCCTTCAGGAAAGGAAGCACAGAGTCCTTTCCCAAGGAATGTAGGTCATTTCTGTGTTCTTTCCCCTCTAATCTTTAAGATCAACTCTTTTTATCCTGCTAACTGTAAGATTTGATAAGGGCCACATCCCAGTGTTTATCTTAGCTTGCATCAGGGCATGCGTATGTACAGTAATGTGTATTCCTGTGGTTTTCCTAATAGCAGAAACAATTTACAGAGACTTAGCATGTTCTTGGGTGACGTGAATCATGTGACAGAAGTATAGACATAACTCCAATGTGAGAAATGTTCTTTTTTCATTCTTTATGAAAAAAATATAAACACTAGTGCTCCAGTGTGCACTCTCCTGTAAGGTCTGTCTTTGTACAGAGCTAAGCACTTGTTTGTATGTGTTTGTCCATTGTGGAAGATAATGACCGGACAAATAGGTCGATTGTCCTATTCTCAGAATGACTTATCTTCTATGGCAATGAAGAACTCTTTGGCTTAGTCAGAAGGAATTAATAAACCTAGGAAGAAATATATTTCCATCCTTCCAGCCTACAGATAAAAGTGGTTAAAATAATAGTTCATTCAATTTAAGCCCAGTAGTGTCAGTTTGTCTAATCTCAGTCCAGGTAGGAATTAAGTAATATCTCAAACATTGATGCTTATCCAAGCCTGTTAGGGTAGAAGGGAATTGGTGCCCAGAAGATGGGACTGGAGTAAGGAATATCTTTTCTTTTGAGAGTACCCCCATTTCATTTCTACTGTGCTTTATTACTAATGTTCTTTATTGTGAACATTGTAACATTAAAAAAATGTTTTTGCTGTAGCTTTTGGGGATTTGGTGTTAAAGGAGGCAGTGTAGGGTACTATAATGAGTTATTGTGACCCACAGCTGTGTGGGACCACATCACTTGTTAATAACAACCTTGAAAATAGCCCATCTTCCAGGGGGTTCCTTGATGTTGCCACTCCGTTTTAAGGACAAACTGAGGCAAGGAGCATTTTTTTGTTGTTGTTCTATACAAGCTCTAGCAGACTGTGGGTATTGGGTGACATATATGTTCTTGGTAACTAAACTCGAATACGTTTTTCCCCATATATGTTGCTGACAGTTTTAATAAATATCAAAGTTCTCCCGTTGCTTCTGTGAGCCACTATGGGTATCAGCTTGGGAGTGGCCATAGATGACAGCAGTTCCATGACCTAACTGTATTTCAACCCTTTTTCCTTCCCTACTGTTTTCGCAACACCCCAACCAGTTCGTTCCGCTGCTTTTGGCTTCTTAGAAGTGAAGGGACAAAGACAAGGCTTCCAAACACCCAGCTATCTCCGTATATGAAAAATCTAGCTGGGAAACTTAAAGGGCAAGAGCCACACCAGTTGTCTCCTCTCTTTCTGCCAATTGTTGCCCATTTGCTGTGTTGAACTTTGTGTAGAACTTACGCCTCAGACTCTCTTTACTAATGCTTTTTGCATGCCTTCTGCTCCCAAGGCCCTGGCTGCTTCTGCGCACCCGGTGAACACATTGTGCCTGTTTTCTATGGTTGTGGTGAGTGAATGAACAAGTCAATATGTAGAACAGTTTTCCTTATGGTATTGGTCACAGTTATCCTAGTGTTTATCTGTATTATTCTAATAATATTCTATAATTAAAGGTATAATTTTAAAGTCAGCAAACCTGAGAATTACTTTAGTAATCTAGCACTGATTCATATAATGGGTTTTCATCAGGTTCATTAAAATTGGGCATGATTGTCTTTACACTGATGCATTTTGTACAGACGTACAGATATTTTACAGACGTTCTTGTAGGAATTTGGGAATACAGTATCTTGAGCCCTCTGCATATTGGCATATCTTGGGAAGATGAAAAAACCTAGGCAGTTTCCTATGAAGGTTATGCTGGTGACAAAAGCAACATGGAAATATCTGGTATGGGTGACTTACTAGCTTTGGGGAATGAAAAAAGAAATCTAAAAACAAAGATGAGAGAAGGCCTTATTGCTTTAAGGAGATATTTTGGAGTATTCATTAAGAATACTAAGGCCAGGCACGGTGGCTCACACCTTTAATCCCAGCACTTTGGGAGATTGAGGCGGGTGGATCACCTAAAGTCTGGAGTTCAAGATCAGCCTAGCCAATATGGTGAAAACCCATCTCCAGTAAAAATACAAAAATTAGCCGGGTGTGGTGGCACACGCCTGTAATCCCTGCTACTCCGGAGGCTGAGGCAGGAGAATCGCTTGAACCTAGGAGGCAGAGGTTGCAGCAAGCTAAGCACCAGTGCACCCCAGCCTGGACGACAGAACAAGACTCTGTCTCTCTCTCTCTCACACACACACATAAAAAATACTAAAACATCAGGCAACTGCTCTGATGAAAAGAAAATAATCAGGAAAAATTAAAAAAAAAATACTAAAACAGTTTTTATCGGATTGGGTTCCTAGAACAGAAACACCTTTTAGAAACAAAGGGGCCGGGCGCGGTGGCTCAAGCCTGTAATCCCAGCACTTTGGGAGGCCGAGGCGGGTGGATCACGAGGTCAAGAGATCGAGACCATCCTGGTCAACATGGTGAAACCCCGTCTCTACTAAAACTACAAAAAATTAGCTGGGCATGGTGGCACGTGCCTGTAATCCCAGCTACTCAGGAGGCTGAGGCAGGAGAATTGCCTGAACCCAGGAGGTGGAGGTTGCGGTGAACCGAGATCGCGCCATTGCACTCCAGCCTGGGTAACAAGAGCGAAACTCCGTCTCAAGAAAAAAAAAAAAAAAAAAAAAAAAGAAAAGAAACAAAGGCTCTCTATTGGTGACATAGTACAGTCTGCCTAAAGCTGTGATTAGGTATTACCAGGGTGTGGCCACAATTTTCAAATTACTTAGAAATAATTTTCTCTCATGAAATCTTTTTTTAAATGGATAGCCAGCTTAGGCAAAGTTAGGGATGGAAGTGCTTTATATTGAGGAAAAATATAAATATGACAGAAAAGTTTTTAATCCGGTAGCCAAGACTTGAAAAGAAGAGAAATTTTTATCAAAAAACTTTTTTTTCTGTTTTTTTTTTTGTTTGTTTTTTTTTTTTTTTTTTTTTTTTTTTTCACCCAGGCTGGAATGCAGTGGCATGATCATGGCTCACTGCAACCTCAACCTCCCCAGGCCCAGGTGATCCTCCCCACCTCAGCCTCCCGAGTAGCTGGGACCACAGGTGTGTGCCACTACACCCAACTAATTCTTCCTTAATTTTTTTTACAGATGGAGTCTCCATATGTTGCCCAGGCTGGTCTCAAACTCGGGCTCAAGTGATCCAAGTCAGCCTTCTAAAGTGCTGGCTTACAGTTATGAGCCACCATGCCTGGCCTCAAAATATTATTTAGGCTACTCTGGGCCACTCTGCCTATGGGTTAGCCCTGCTCTGTCTATAGAGCAGCCAAAAGTATATATGTATAAACTCTTAGCTAGGCGTGGTGGCGTATGCCTGTAGTCCCAACTACTTGGTAGGCTGAGGCTGAGTTTGAGGCTGTAGAGCAAGATCTCATCTCTTAAAAACAAAAACAAAAAAACTCTCTTCTTACTACACGTTCAGCATTTTTCATTGCTGGGAAGGAAAGTTAAGGGAAAATACTAATTCACCTGGAGAAGTGTAGCTCAAGAGCCTCCCTCTAAGAGTATTTGATATGTTAATATCTTGCCATTGTTATTATTGAGCAAATTTCTTTCTGTGTGAACTGTTCTCTAAGAGCCTAGAGGTAGGTTAGGGCTGTGTTTCCAGGCCATTAGGACATCCTCCGAAATGATAATTTGTTAAATGGTTCCCTAGTGTTTCAGAAGTTAGTGTAGCTGCCAAAGGAGTTCCCATGCCCTGGGAGAAATGGACTCTTTGGAAGCTGTTGTTAGATACCCACCTCTGCTGTAAAGTAGCAGATGTGGGCCCTGCTTATCTATAGGAGACTTCAAGAGACTAAAAGACTGTTAAGATCGTTAGTGAAAAATAGCTGAGGGGTAGAATTAATGGGAGAAAATTACCCTGTAATGACCTAAAATGGGTCTGTGGGAAATCCCATTGCATGATCTGTTTTTCTAAATGCTTCGTTTCCAAAGTTTATATCATTTTCAGCTTCTCTAAAAGAAAGGTGGTTTTATTTTTCCTTTTGGGAGAGATTGAGGTGGATGATACCAAAATCTGGCATAGTTTCACACCAGCCCTTGTAGCTGCTTTCTGGACAGCTCCGCTTGGAAATTACCCATCAAAGCATGAACAATAACAAAACTAAGTTTAAAAAATTATAATAGGAAATTACCCAGACATCTTGAAATCACCCTAAACTCAACTTGCCACTTTTCCCCCTACCCCTGTCTGCTTCTCCTCTCTTCCTAACGCAATCATTGCCCACTTATCCAAACTAGAAACTTGCATATCATACAACTCCTTTTCATTTAGCCACCCTCCCCAAATCGCTAACAAATGTAACTATGCATCCAGTCATGCCCATACCACTCCCTAAATATTTCTCAGATCCTTCTACCTCGCTCTCTCTACTGCCACCCCTTATTACCATGTGACTTTGGGCAATTATTTAGCTTTTCTGTTCCTTGGATTCCCCATCCGCAAATGGGAGTAATTATGTCTACCTCATAGAGTTGCAAAGATTAAATGAGACCACAGGGCTCAAAATATTAGCAGCAATTATTCAGACCATCACTGGGCCACATCTCACTGAAACGACCTCCTAATGAGTCTCCTCTTTTCTATTTTGATTCCCGTCAGTCTGTTCTCCCTTTCTGCTAGAACAATCTTTCTGAAAGGCAAATCCCTTCATGCCACTCTTCTGTGTAAAGCCCTGTCATGCCTCCCATTGCCAGCAGCAAACAGTGAACCTTTTTTAGTGTGATTTCTGAGGAGGTCATTCATGGTCTGGCCTCTGCCGCTCTCCTCTCCCCAGCTCTGGCTCCCTCCTCTTTCCCCGCACTTGCAGCCCTCCAAGCTGCATCTCTTTCTCTCCACTCTTCTGGCCAACTCCTACTCAGCCTTCAGGTCTCAAACCTAACTTGCTTTAGGAAACCTTTCCCAATCCTGTAAGACTGGATCAGGTGTTCCTTTTCTGTTTTCCCTGGGTTTATCCCAATCAAAGCACTTTATCCCGGTTTTGTAATTGCCTGTTTACTTTTTTGTCTCTGCCATTAAACTTTAATATCCTTGAAGAAGTCACTGTCTTGCTCACTGTTGTGTCTTCAACCCCCAGAAAATGTTTGACCTAAAATAAGCAGGCAACAGTAAAATAAATAAGGAGAATATACATAAACTTTATTCCCTTCAGCAGGGCTGGTGACTATTTCTGATGGTTACCACACCAAGCTGCTTTTTCTTTTCTTTTTTTTTTTTTTTTTTTTTTTTTAAGGAGACAGAGTCTTGCTCTGTCACCCAGGGTGGAGTGTAGCGGCACATATCATGGCTCACTGCAACCTCTGCCTCCCAGTTCAAGCTGATTACTGTGCCTCAGCCTCCTGGGTAACCGGGATTACAGATGCCCACCATCATGCCCGGCTAAGTTTTAGTATTTTTAGTAGAGATGAGGTTTCGCTATGTTGGCCAGGCAGGTCTTGAACTCCTGGCCTCAAGTGATCAGCCCCTCGGTCTCCCAAAGTGCTGGGATTACAGGCTGTGGGCCACCGTGCCTGACCAGTACTCGTTAAAAGAACTGTAGAAATTCTGTCATTAGTGCATCTGGTGAGGTCTTCTGGAAAGAGGATGAAGGCTTTCAGAAGTAACGTGACCCATCTAAGACCCTTCAGCCTGGGTGACAAAGCAAGAGTCTGTCTCAAAAAAAAA